CTAGAGGATATTAGAGAGCTTCTAATTTTCTATGCTACAATTACAAGTGCAAAGAAAATCACAACTTACATATATAGACATACATGGGTTCTTAATTTGTACAAAAAACATTCAAGGGAAGGGAGTTAGCTAGACCAGTCGTAATAAGGTTTGCAACTATTTATCTCATTAAATTGTATGATGAACAAAAGAATGCTCTTAGATCTATGTTTGCTTCAGAAGAGTTTGCTTCTAGTTCTTATGATAATAGAGTTGAGGCTAAGCAAGTGATGAGCATATATAGTGTTGAGTGATAATAAATTTTAGAGATCCATTAAGTATTGTATAAAGTGTGTAATTCCACTTGTTGTAAATGGTGATTCAAAACCAATCATGCCATATATTTATGAAGCAATGTACAGAGCCAAAGAGCAAATTGCTAAAAAATTTCAAAAGAAAGAGTTAAGGTATAAGAAAGTGTGAAAGATCATTGATACTAGGTGGAACTTACAAATACATAGACCTCTCCATGCAGTTACATATTATCTTAATCCTATATAAGTAGACATCCTTAATTTCTTAAATTTCATACAGTTGCTTATTCATCTTGACTATTTTTATTGTTTGGTTAGGTTCCATTATGACAAAAGCTATAATTTAGATAGTGAGGTTTTGTATGATTTATATGAAACTAGAAAAATAATGGTTTCAGATAGAAGGACAAAATTTTTAGAGACAAGAAGCAACCTAGTAAAGAGTTATGATGGAGAGGGTAAAAAGTTGCAAAAGGTAACCATGAGAATTTTGAGTCTTACATGTAGTGCAACAGGATGTGAAAAGGAATTGGAGTACATTTGATCAAGTGCATACTAAAAGAAGAAATCGCATGGAACAACAAAGACTAAATGCACTTGTGTTTGTTAAAAATAACCTATAATTAGAATAAGACAAAAGTGTAGAAAAGAAAGGGAAGAGACTTATGATTTGTTCAATGGGCAAGTGTACCCGTCTAAAAATAATATATGATTCTTAAATTTATCTCCCAAAATTATTGTCCCACAAGAATTGATTCCAATTATTAAGAATTTTCTAATTTAATTCTTTGAGCTAAAGAAAGTGAAGTTAAGTAAAAATAAGAATTTAATTATAAAATTAATTATGAATAAAACAAGTAACACATCAAACATATTGGTTGAACTTATAGAAGAGGAACTTGTGACATATAAGTTACTCATTCAATCATTTATGTTATTTTTTTGTATAATTCTAAGTTCGATTTCCTTGTGATTACCAATCATTCATATAATTACTATTAATACCCAATAGTCATGGAATATTAATATTATTTTATATAAACTAACATTTACAATAGTCTTGCAAGATATTAATTCAAAAAAATATAAAGAACCTATAAACTTGTTAATTTAATAACAATTAGAAGAAAAAGATTAGTTTGATCCACCTAATCTTTTGTCTCGTTTTATCCTATAGATCCATTAACTAATCGAGGTACAGTTGTCTGATGATATAATTAATTAGAGTTATACAATTATGCGTAATAGGATAAACACTAATCACATACAAAAATCAAACATAAATTCAAACTTCAAAATCTCATAAATTCATGAATAATAATTCTTATAACTCTAACTATGAATTTAGTTACTCATGCTAAAAGAAAGAACTAAAATAATAAAAAACAAAGACATGGAGAAGAGCAAATTAGAATGAGATGAGTTTCCGGTGTTCAAGTATGGATGTTCGACACTCAGGTCCCGCCAAGAGTATGTCAAAAATCTCGTGCAAGAGAGACGGGATGAAAAGTGTATCCAAAGTCAGAAACAAAGTGTAAAATTAGGTGATGAATTATTGTTCTTGAACTCTCTTTTTAATAGAGTTTAAAAATCTTAAAACTTTTCATAGTTGAGCTTGTCGCAAATGAGTATAGTTGTGCAAGGTCATAAGCATGGTCATGCATGAACTCGAAGCACTCATGTGCTTACATTTAAGGATTGAGTGTGCTGACTGTTATGAAACTCTAATTTCTAACCAATTTGGGCTTAAAATGCCTAAAAATCCAACTTTGAACTTTTTATGCTAAATTGCACAAAATATAAATGAATTAATGTAAAACTCGAATAAAATACAGGTCAAACATAAATATGAGTTATAAAAACGGGCCTAAATACACTTATAATGATCCCATATGCTTATCCGATGTTGAATCAAATTATGAATGGATTATTGAAAAAAAGGATCCATGCTTACCAAATGATGCTTCATGGATGAATATACATAAGTGCTTTACTTTTGATAAGGAAGCTCCAAACAAGAAAAGAAGAGAGGTATTTGTGTAGATTCAGAATTAGAACTTGAACAAAAAAGTTATTTACTCAAATACATATTGTCATGCTTGTTCCATTATTTTGGTTTTATAAGTCCAAGAAACTTAATTGTCAAAGCTGATAAGAAAGAAAAATTTATAATAGAAGATGATGATAAAATTAAAGGCATTACTAGACATGGGTGGAAGAGAAAGAACTTTTGATGTTGTAAGATAAAGAGGATGAACTCAGTGACATAGATCTTGGGGATAATAAATTATCATAGATTATAGATTTTCAAATTTTACTATAGTGACTTGTTGTCATTTTTTGTTTATCTTTTTTCAAGATTATATGTTGAATTTGAGCAGTCACTTTTTTTAGTAATGTGACTGGATGTTATGATTTGAATTTTGATTTGCTTACAAGTGTATGTCATATTACTATTTATATACTATTTACTTCAAAATGTTAATATATAAATATTTCTTTATGTTACAATGCTCTTAAATTTATGTTTTTTATAATTTAAATTATTGATCTTGATGATTCAAAATACAATTCGATTTACGATTCAAAAAGCAGGTCTTATGATTCACAATTTGAATCCCAATTTAATTACCTTGATTAGTGTCACCGTAACACTCAGTAGAAATGTCAGAAATTTGAGGAAAGGTTATGATTACTTAGGGATAGTAAGCTTCCTTGAATTGGTAAATAAATGTGCAGCCTTGAAAAATTTAGAAGATCAAAGACAAAATCAAATAAAAAATTTTGGCTTTATGAACGAGAGAGATTTCAACAAGAAAAAGCTTTATACCACCAGAGCTACTTTTCAGAAACCTGCCTCTAATTATAAAGGAGATGGACAAAACTCAGAAGAAAAAGGAGTTAAATGCTGAAAGTGTAGAAGGAATCACCTTGCATCTAAATGCCTAAAACAAGGCATTGTCTGCTTCATATGTAAAAAGGCATACCATTCTTTTAAGGATTTCCCTTTACCTAAGAGGGAAGTGACTGTAAATAATGCCAGAACAACTAGGCCAAGAGTATCATGAAGGAAGAGTATTTACTATGAGCAAAGAGGAAACTGTTCAACTTGATGATCTTAAATGCATCATAAATGGATTTTCTCTTAAAGTATTGTTTGATTCTCGTGCTACTTATTCTTTCTTTATTTTAGATTGTGTGAAAAGATTAAGATTGGAAATTACATTTCTTGATCATAACTTCGTGATATCTACTCTTACTTCTCAATCAGTACAATCCGCTCAAGCTTATTTAAAATGTCCGATAACTATTGACAATAGAAAATTTTTAATACACTTTATTTGTTTACCTTTGACCCAATTAGACTTAATTCTTGGCATGAACTCACTTTTTTCTAATCAAATTATTCTTGATTGTGTATCTGATGACATTTAAAAAACTTAAAAGTGTAATGGCTAATGTTGTCTGTATGTTGGGATAATGCTAATTTTTACAATTGCTAAATTCTGCTCATTCATGCATCAATTTCTTTTTGAACTTATTTTTTTTCAGAAATTTTGTAGGGAGCATTGAAACTAAAACAGAGAGTAATGGCTGATGACACCCGTTCAACTGATCTTACTTGCTCTTGTACGGTATGTTTGTAAGATACGTCACATTTTCAGTTGATAAACTGTTTGCAGAAATCAGCAGGTGTTTTGGTTTATTTCTTCTGTCACAGGTTTGCAGGATCTACACCAGGGCTTTCATCCATTGCCTTGTAACAAAAGATGCCATGGGGTCTCAACTTTTGTCATCATAATTTATATACTACATGATGCAGGTGCAAAGTACAAACAATATCATCTCATAAAAAGATCATTAATTAGTTGTATTAATATTTATGGTTAAAGTCATTGTCTGTCCACAATTTGCAGTTCAGTAGGAATCTACACTCTTCGATAGTTGAAGGAAGGTTCCCAGAGTATGTTCACTTTGATATTTAATTAATCTCACTTCTGATATGTATTACTACTTTCGGTCCAACAAAGTCCTTCCTTCTTTCAACACAAAATGCAATAACTGTGTATTATTTTTACTTTTTGTTGGTTTATATGCGACTTTCTACACAAAATGGTATACTGCAGAAAACTAAATCAATTTTTTTTGTATTTTGGGTACACTGCTTTGATATTTGCTTCTTTTTTTTTTATCAAAAACTTAGTATCCCCACCCCACCCAACATTTCTTCAAAAAATAGTTCAATAAAATTCTTTTTATACTTAAGTTAATAAATCTGTTAATTCTAATCTTAAATATTGGGTAAAGCAAAAGTAGCGAAAAACGGAAGGTTGGTTTATCTCTCTTTAAATGAACCGGGCATTAGAGGCCATCAACCTATAGTTTTCTGTAATTGTAATGACTTTGATGATCATTGTAATGATCTCAAAATCTTAAGGAGGTTGTTGTATCATGTAATTGTAATTTTCTTTAAAATTTGTTGCATATACAGCACGTAAATTCTTTACTGGCATTAGAAAAAGAAAAGGAAGGGTAAAAAAAATTATGGAGATACAAATTTTCAAATTTAAGTTATTATAAGTGGTTTGAATCTCCCACATGACTATCGCTTCATTAATGGAAACCTACCGAGCAATGGTTTAAGGTCATTTTAGTGTTTACCATTCCACATCATTACCAATAACCACTCCACCCATCCAAACATAACCTAAATAATAGGGGAAACTAAAAAAATTATCGATAATTTTGATATTCGTTCATCGCATTACACATGAATTATTGGTTAATATGCAAACAGAATCAGAAAATCAAATATTTGTGCCTGTTAATAGTTGCTCGATGTTATAGCTAAAAAGAAGCGAGAACCAAAGGGCCTGCCAACTCCTCTTCGTGGGAGAATATCTGCAGTTACAAATAAAGTATCTTGTACTACTCAATTTGGTTATTTAGCCGTTTGAGAAGCCTCAGCGGTCTTGACTTCTGTAGGACATTGAGATACATATGGTTTGAGCTGCACAAAAAGAAGTTATAGGAATAAGCAGCCACTACGGTAAGTGAAAAAAGTTATATTCATCGTGTAATATTTACAAAAATTCTTGACCCCTAATCATTCGTAAAGAGAGAAAATATCGTTTATAGATTATGGCCATTTCTATACTGCAGCAAGGTAAACATTTGGAAGAAAAACAGGTAACCAAAAGAGTTAATAGTGTCGTGCATTGAGATTAAATGAGTGGAAGATGCAAACCTTGAAATCAGTCAAATCAGGAACTACATAATTTGGCAATTTTTCTTGCATCACTACATAACCACCTGCAACAATATGTGGATTTACATTCAATTCGAGTCCTCATAAATATCAAGTTGAAAAATAGTGAGCATCTTTCATAACAACCAATCTTATCGAAGTCTCAGTACAGTTAAATAAACTAGGATTTAAAAAGTCACAAGATTCTGACTAAAACTAAAAACACACGTTTCACAGGAAAACATTAAAACTAATGTTTATCAAACAACAGACACCTTAAATATGCATTGCATTTACAGCAATTAAGAAGATCCTGTTCAGCAGGTCCAGAATTAGAAAACCTCTATAGTTTCAAAACTGTACTCACTAGCAATAACTAAGCTAGTGTAATGAGCAAACATCATTAATGCAGATGAAGCCCTTCTTAAAGGAGTTCACCATGTTGATAACTATTAACCAGTAACCACCATTACTAAACTAATAAATATGCCCCGTCCTCAACAAAATATGACAACCAAACAAGCAGTCCATGAGGCTAGTACCAATGTACAACAACAAAGTGTACTACAGTTCAAGCTAAGTGCCCCTTAAACACAGATGAACAAGTTCAATTGACAAAACAAACCTTTGCGAGTGTGGAAACCAGTAGGCTTGCAATTCTTTCCCTTGTAATAACCACGAGGAGCTTGTTTTGATGACAGAATGTCAAGCAAAGATGTTCGCTTCCTTCAAAATGCCCTTCCTATTCCTAAAATAAGCCCCCGAGGCATCTTTTCTACAAGAAACAGAACAAATTAATAATCACCAAAACCAAATATGTACCATAGTAGTCAATCCCGGATAGCGGCGCGGAGCGGCCGACCTCAAAAACGCTATAGCGGCATAGCGGATAGCGGGATGGCCGCTATTTTAAGTATTATAAATATACTCATAAACTCATAAATTAAATTACACACATATGCTTAGATGTCAATAACAAGTAACAACAAAATATAAAAATAAATTTAACTAACTAAATTTAAGTCTCTAATGCTTAGATGTTTAAAAATACTAAGTGTTCAATTCAAATACAAATATTTTAATAATTATCATCATCTTCATCTCCAAGATTTGCAATGTCCTCTTCATTTTCACTTTCATCACTACTTTTGTAAAGAACCTCCTCCTCCTCCTCCTCCTCCTCATCCTCTTCTTCAGAGTCTTCATCATCACATTCTTCTTCTTCTTCTTCTTCTTGTACAATTTCTTTCCCTTTTCCCTTAGATTTAGATGAAGAAGCAATTGTAGTTGTCTTGGATTTTGATTTAGCTTGTCGCCTAGTGTAGGTTATAGGCTCACTAGCCCCAATTGCATTAGCAACAGCTCCCCAAGTCAAGTTATCATCATCAAACACTAATTCATCTACAGCATCTTCATCATCTCCAACTATTCCTTCTAGCAACCAATTATTACTATCATCAACATCCTTTAAGATAATAGGATCCACCACGTCAGAACACTCAAAACGTTCATTAAGAGCTTGGTTATATTTAATAAAAACCAAGTCTTGTAACCTTTGATGCTCAAGTCTGCTTCTCTTTTTAGAATGAATCTATTTTATCATAAAAAAAAAATATTAGATTTTCACTTTTCATAAAAGAACTTTAAATTGAGGATTCAGATATTTACTTACGTGCTCAAAAGTACTCCAATTTCGTTCACAACTACAAGTCAAACTCAACACTCTAATAGCAATATTTTGTAAATGTGGTGTACGTACTCCATAATTCTTCCACCATTCAGCTGCAAGTTATGCATCAACTTATTAACCTTTTGTGTTATATCTACATAATTACATTACAATAAAAAAATTAAACAAATCTCTTACCAGGAGGCCATTGTAGCCCTTTGTCTTTTTGCTCCACTTAAACCAAAGAGACCTTCAGCTCTTCTATATGTTGACAATTGAACTGTAGCATTGTCTACATTATCTTCACTTGTACATAGCCTCTCAATACATTTATACAAGCCTTCCACAACTTCAAGATCATTCTCAATTTGTTTATTGCTATAAAAAAATTGAGGATTCAGATAATAACCTGCAGCATGTAATGGATGATGAAGTTGACACTCCCATCTTCTATCAATTATAGCAAAAATCTCCTTATATTTGTCTACATTTCCTTTGAATGCATTTTGAATGCTTTCTTTAGCTCTATCAATTGCTTCATATATATAACCCATTGCAGGCTTTCTTTCATTATCAACAAGTCTCAAAACTTGCACAAGTGGCCCCATAGCCTTAAGACAGAAAACTACATCATTCCAAAAAGAAGGCATAAGTACAGTGTCTGTTGCCCTTTTTCCTTTAGCTTCTTTGGCTGTTTTGGACTTTAACCACTCATCGAAAGTGAACATTTTTCTAAGGTTGTTTTTTTTATTATGCAACCTTTGTAATGTGAGGAATGTTGTGGCAAACCTTGTCACTCCATATCTAACCAATTCAGCTTTATTGGTGAACTTCCTCATAATATTCAAAGTCAATGAATGATTATAAATAAAACCCACAAGAGTAACTCCCCTTTGGATTGTTCTCTTGACTCTAGGTATTTTTCCAATGTCTTCTAATATCAAGTCAATACAGTGTGCAGCGCATGGAGTCCAAAACAAATGTGGTCTTTTAGCTTGCAACAACTTACCTAAAATTAAATTGCATAGTCTAAAATTAGAAACTAATAAAATAATTAGTAACTAAAATTAATATAGGGAGTTAAGAATAATTCTTACCGGCTAATACATAATTACTTCCATTATCAGTAACTACTTGCACAACATTTTTCTCTCCAATCTCTTCAACAAAGCTATCCAAGAGCTCAAACAACTTTTCTCCAGTTTTCATATAAGCAGATGCATCAATGCTCTTTACAAACATAGAACCAGTTGGACAATTTACTAAGAAATTGATCAATGTTCTATTTTTTTATTCGTCCACGCATCTGACATAATTGAACATCCACATTTTTCTCTTTCTTCTTCACGACTTTTCAACATTTCCTTTGTATACTCTAACTCCTTTTTAAGAAGAGGAACTCTACACTCATGATAACTAGGAGGCTTTAGATGTGGACCATAGTTTCCAATAGTTTCAACCATTAATTTGAAACTTTTTGAGCGCACAACGTTGAAAGCAATTCCATTCCTACAAAGGAATTGCTCTATGTATTGAACTGTTCTTGCTCTTGCCTCTTTGACACAAGCATCATTTATACTTGTTTGTCTTTTTGATTTTGCTAATTTGATGCTTGTTTCTGGACTCTTTAACCATAATAAATCCAATGGGCCCTTGACATTTTTTCCTTTTTTGGTGGCATTACAACCACTAACATAAACTGATGCAACACTTGAGGTTGCAGGTCGTTTTCCACTACGAATATTTTGAATTTCTTGCACCTCATCTTCATCATCATCATCTTCATCATGCTGAAGTAAATATACCTCTTTTTCAATTCTTTTCTTCTCATGAGCTGCTATTAGTGTTTCTTTTATTTCTTTGGGAATCCTTGGACACTTATCAACATCTCCCTTCACTCCCATTTGGTGCCTCTTTGCTCGGGTAATACCGCCTGTAGTCGTTTTTCCACAAAAGTCACAAGTAACAGACTTTTTATTATTTATGTCTTTCAAACTATTCCATTGCCAACCTATATCCAAATTATTTCCTGAAGGCTTCACTAATGCACAGGATGAAATTGAAACAGAGCCGGTTCCTTGTGACAGATTGGGAGGAGTAGTCATTACTTCTTTAAGCTTTGAAATTTCGAACAGAAAATAATAGAAGAATCAAAACAGAGAAGAGAAAAAAAAAACAGAGAAAAATATAGGAAAAAAAAATGTTCAGTACCGGAAAGTTCGCCGGAAGTCTGCCGGAGTTGGAGAAGATGACCGGAAAGTTGTGCTGACCTTGAAGAAGATGAGAAGAGATGAAGAAAATGACTCAAAATAATTTGGGTCACCTTAGAAGCTTGCCGGAGACGAAGAAGATGACCGGAAAATCAAGTGGAAGTCTCGCCGGAAAAACAGAGCACAGCGAACAGAGGATGACCAGAAAACCGAGAACAGAGGAGAGAGAAACGAGAACAGAGGAGAGAGAACCGACGGGAGAAGAGAGGAGAGCAGACTGATGGAGGCTAGGGTTGAAGAAGATGATTCAGAAAAATAAGGGGGGGTCGAAATTCCAAAATTGCCCCCCCTTAAAGGGCCCTAACGGTAAAAGATGAGGGGCAAAAAGGGGAAACGCGCGAGAATGAGATAGCGGCCGCTCCAGCCGCTATTTTCGGTGTTTTCCGCCGCGAATCGCGGCGCGACAGCCGCTACTGTGAAACACGACAGCGTCGCCGTCGCGGGAAAGGGCCGCTCCGCCGCGATTGCGGCCGCTATTTCCGCTATTGACTACTATGATATGTACATATCACAATCAAGGAATAACATATATAAACACACAATAACAGTAATAATACATGATTAAGATTAGAACCATTTCTGCATAAGAAACTACATTCATACACTCACCATTGACAATTCATGAAGGAGAAACAAGAAGACTGTCAATTGCTAGGCAGGATCCTAGGAAAGGGATTCAAGCAGGGGTTGGTTTGGGGAAATAAAAATTAAAGGGAATCCATCATTACTCACCCACATTTGTAGACCACACCACACCACACCAACATTTAGTAATATAATATTATTTGGATAAAGTTTTTTTTTATTTCTTTTAGCAAAGCCCAATGTGAGCTGGTAACCTCTTCTACTTAGCAGAGGTATGATTTTATTCAAGGCAGTTGGCTACTATGGGACAGGTAGGGATAATTGGACTACAGAGGCATGGATTGAAATTAAATGCTTGAAATTTCCCATCAAAACACAGAGTTTAGCACTATGATGATAGTATGGTCTCCACTACCATAACAAATCCAACAAACAAAACAACTTGGAAGTATATAGTCTGTTCTTTCAAGAATCAAGACACAAACAAGCAATTATACATGAGCTAAGAGGTTAAGATTTAAGAATCAAGATACAAATATAGGCCTACAAACCAAGATAGAAGTAATCATATTTAAACATGTTAAGAAACAAGAATCAACACACAACCAAAAATACATACCGTCAGGCGATGCCGAATTCCATATATCATACAGCCATAATTTTCTTAATATTGCTTTCAGAATTTTCAACCTAATTTTCCTAGCTCTACTAATTCCAAAAGGTATAATTAAATGAGCAAATAGAGCTAGTTACATTACCAACATAAAACATATTTTCAAGGAGCATAAAAAATGAAATAGCCAGGTGTTCATAAGACTATTTTCCAATTACAAGCTGGTCATTGCTCTAAAAAACAGGTGTTCCTTCGTTCTGCTACATTGTTGAATTTGGGAAAGACAGTTACCGAACAATAGTGAACAAAAAATGGAAACAATACAGATAGAACCAAATGAAAATGAAAAATGTGATTGCAGAAAGAGAAGCATACCTAACCTACCTGAAGATTGCAGAGAGATTACAACTTTATTGAATATTGGGACCGTCAACGTCTTAGGGAAGGGGATCCTGGTTATGTGATGTTCGGACGAATGTAGGCAGGTGGCACTAGTAGGGTTTAGGTATCGATGATTAAAATATTAAAAAGTTTTTATTTTAAAAAAAAAAACATTTTTTTCAAATTATCTTACATACAAGTTTTTTAATTATATTGTGACTTTTTCTATGAAGTATTTATTTTTTAATAAAT